TCAAATTGCGTCAATGTACAATGTGCAAAATTAATCTCAGTTTTGGCTCCCAGCTTCCTAGAAGCTTAGATAAGTTAAGAATGCCACTAACTTTATAACATCTTTTAACAAAAATTATTCACTGATTAGAGAACACATCTCAGGGAAATAATGCTAATATTCTATAGTGATTTCCAACATTGAAATAAGAAATATACTTGATTACTAAATTAGACTAATTCACACACAGTACATAATTTATATGAAATACATACGATTTGTTCAACATTCTAAGTTTCTTTTTAAAATTTACTATAAAAAGGCAAAAGAGGAAAATACATTAATTTACAGGAAGCCAAAAGGCTGTGGTTCAGTGGTTACTAACGCACGGTTTTGGGAATTCTCACATCTAACATTAATCTGCATCTTGCTCTTCAGGATAAAAGTGCTAAGGGAAGCCTTTCTCCCCACATTCTTCCTATTCCATAAGGCCCTGTAGAAGTTGTCTCCTCCATGAGGCCTTTCTCTACTATTCTCCCCACGGGGATCTTTCCATTCATTGAAGCCTTCTTTCTTTCAGTTTTTGCAGTACAACTATTTGTAGCACAAACTAAATCATTTTAACCTGATGTGCGGATCTTTGGATGTGTCAACTTGGCGAGGTTACAGACCCCGGTAATGAAGCAAACAACAATCTAGGTTTTGCTGTGAAGGTATTTTGTAGATGTGATTAAAGTCCTTAATCAATTAACTTTATCAGAGATTCTTCTAGATAATCTTGGTGGGTGTGGTTCAATTAGTTGAAGGGCATTAAGAGAATTGCTGAGGCTTTCCTGTTGAAGAAGAAATTCCGTCTGTGGAAAGCAGCATCAGCCCATGCCCAAGGGTTCCAGCCTGTCCTTCCTAACAGCCTATTCCGTGGATTTTGGACTTGTCCAGCCAGCCCCCATAACTGGTAAGCCAATTCCTTGCAATAAATCTCTCTTTTTAAAAAATTGACATATAATTGACATACAGTATTAAGCTTTGGGTATACAATATAATGATTCGATATTTGTATACACTGTAAAATAGTCACCACAATAATAATATTCCATTGTATGTATATACCACATTTTGTTTTGCATTCATCTGTTAATGGACATAACAGTTGTCTCCACCTTTTGGCTATTGTGAATAATGCTGCTATGAACATTAGAGTGCAAATATCTGGTTGAGTTCCTGCTTTCAATTCTTTCAGGTATATAATTAGAAGTGGAATTGCTGAATCACATGGTAATTTTATATTCAGCTTTTTGAGGAACTGCCATATTGTCTTCTTGACTTTCTTAAATACATTTCAGTTCTCTGTTGAAATTATCCATTGTTTATTTATTTTCTCTACCTTTTTTTCCTATTTACTTGAACATGAATGTAGTTACTTTAAAATCCTTTTTGGATGACTCCAATATCTGGATCATCTGTATATCTGCTTCTGCTGTCCATTTTTCTCTTTCAGTTTTTGGTCATATCATCCTGTCTTTTGGCATGCCCTGTAATTTTTTCCATAATGCCTCCAGAGAGGGTTTCCTTTCCCTCTAGTAAGCAGATATAATGGTAGCTGATCATCTTAACCCAATCAAGCTGTGCTGAGTGGAGGCTGGGTTGCACCTCTGGTGAAGCTCAAGCTATTTTTGGCTCATCTCTATTCTAACAGCATAGCCCTCTAGGATTTTTAATTGAGAGCCTGGGAATCCATTGGGGTTTCTCCCTCTGGCAGGTTCATAACTCTAGTCTGTATCTTGTGAGACTGCCAAAACGTCTGCCCTGCTTTTCAAAGCCTTTCCAGCAAGATTTTTAGTTTCCCATTCTGTAAAGCCCCAGGATTTGGCAAATATCCCAACAGGATAACTGGCCCTATGCTTGAGGCTCCCTTAGTTTTCTGTAAAAGCTTCCTGGTTTCTTGTCCCCAGCAGCAGCTCTCTACCAGAATAAAGTCTTAGTTCTCAGACCCCTGCTCATGCCCAATATCAGCAGATTCCGCAGGGCAAAAAGAGGTTACAAAAGTCAGCTCACCTTTCTGAGGTTCCTTTTGCTCCCCTTTACTTTTGGAGTTCAGCTCTTCAGGGTCTTGGCCCAAAGCATGGTGTACCAGTATCCCCCCCTTGGTAGGAAATGGACTAGATTTTTATCTCCCCAGCCCCCTAAGACTGTGTATTTCAGGTCACACATCTCCAGGCAAACACAGCCACAAAAACCTAGGCTCACCTCTCTCGACTCTTATCCTTTCCCAGATCTTGATCAAGTAATTCCTATCTTATTAGCTCTTCGAAGCTTTAACATATATTTTAAAAATATTTTTTCTGCTTGCTTTTTAGTTTTAATCACACAATTCCTATGCAATATTAGTACTATTTTAGTACTACCAGTCTTGGTAACTTTTAAGAACATAATTCCCAAGTGTAGAGAAATAACAATTTCTCAAAGCCAGCCTTAAGAAAGGGGCTAAGTGGTACAGTGGTACAGTGGTACAGTGCTTAAGTTGGTGTGCTCTGCTTAGGTGATCTGGCGTTTGTGGGTTTGGATCCTGGGCGCAGACATACACACTGCTCACCAAGCCATGCTGTGGCAGCATCCCACATAGAAGTACCAGAAGCACGTACAACTAGGACATACAACTATTTACTGGGGCTTTGGGGAGAAAAAAGAAGAAAGGAGGAAGACTGGCAACAGATTTTAGCACAGGGCCAATCTTCCTCACACACACAAAAAAAGAAAAAGCTATCTTTTAGGCTCAGAAAGCTTTCTCATTATTTTCAAGTTTTAGTAAGATAACCATTAAATTATTATTATTAAGCTAGAATTATGTTCTGCTTCCATTTCTTATCAATTATAGTAAAATTACGTTAAAGGAAAAATAATGAGGCACTTCAACTACACTTCACTCAGAATATGTACAACATATGCCTTGCATTTTGAAGGTTATTGTATTAATGCGAGATAAAAGCATATCTATTTCATTTTGGCTTAATCTCTTAGAACAATATTTCTAACATCACCAGATGATGTTAAGAAGTCTTCCTAGGAGGGTTGTTGTGGGGATGGATGTTTTCCTCATCAAATATATTTGCTTTCTCTGTCGATGGACACTGCGTATTAGTAGATTAAAGATCTTGAGAAGTCCTCAGTAAAGTCAGCTACTTATCTTTGTTTAACCTTCTGTCTTCAAATATATTGACCATGGAAGTCTTTTAACCATGGAATACCTTTTAACATGCCCCAAGGCACCTAATTTGAGAAAAGTGGCCTAGAAGAAGGGAAATAAACATTTAAAATAGTTTGGGTTATTTATATGTTATTATAGTTGATTACATAACTCCTGCTTCTTTCTTCCTCATTGAAGGTGAGCAGGTGAGTTTTGTGGGGTTTCTTATTAGTTTTATTAAGCTATAACTTCCTTTGTCAGACTTTTCTGACATAGGGTAGCAGAAAGAGTATGAGCTTTATATAAAGATAGAATTAGGATCAAATTCTGGTTCCATCCTCATGGGCAAATTCTTCTCTCTCTCTTAGTCATATTTCTTTATTTGTAAAATGGGCTTGTGAGGGCTTTCATAGTATTCTTTTAAGTATTAATGACCATGTAAATTGCCAGTACATTGCCTGGCCCCAGAGGTTCCTCCTCTCTTAAAATTCCTCAAAGATCTGGAATTGCCAATTGGAATGGACATAAGATTGACATCTCTGAACGGTGATTTGGGACTCTTCTCTATTAATTCATTCCCTTGCTTCTTACAGTAGTAATTTCTCCCTTGCCTAGTTAACAGGCTGCAATACTCCTGGGGAATAATGCTTTTATATCCTAAATGATAGAGTATCTAGAGTTAAGTTGATTTTTATTTTCTTAGAACTTTGGAAAGCCTCAGGTCTCCCTGTCTTATGTTCCCATAACACTTGCTATTGTAATACTTATCTTACCTTACTGAAATTATTCATTTTCTTCCTGCTAGACAATAAGTTTGCAAGGTCAGGACATCTTGTTCTCTGCTTTATGCACACACCTAGCACCACTGGCCTGGGTAAAGAGTAACCCCTCAATAATTATAGAATCTTTAATAAGTTATAATAATTGGGATCCAAGAATCATTATTATCAAAACTATAATTCTCAGATTAATGTTTTAATATTATTTATACCAGAAGACATTAGCAGAAAACAAGGAGTTAAATGTACTTATCCTCAAACATTTAAAATATAAGTGCTATGGAACCAATAATTACGACTAGAAATCTTAGATTGATATCCAAACATTTGAATAGAAAATAAATAATAAATATACTTATATGCTTTTCAGATAAATTTTTGGTATTGGGGAATGACTCCATTTATTCAAAAGATGTGTTCTAGAAAGGTTGCCTTTTTTTTTTTAAAGATTGGCTCCTGAGCTAACAACTGTTGCCAATCTTCTTTTTTTTCTTTCTACTTTTTATCCCCAAATCCCCCCAGTACATAGTTGTATATTTTAGTTGTGGGTTCTTCTAGTTGTGGTACGTGGGATGCTGCCTCAATGTGGCCTGATGGGTGGTGCCTTGTCCGCGCCCAGGATCCGAACCAGTGAAACCCTGGGCCTCTGTAGTGGAGCATGCGAACTTAACCACTCGGCCATGGGGCCGGCCCCTAGAAAGGTTGCCTTTAAATAACACTTTCATACTCTAAACATTTAAAAAACCATCTGATTAGAGTAAACTAAACTTCAAGTACATTTGCAAAACAAAAATCCCTCTTTGTAATGAGGATGCTCTCATGCTGGTCTGTACTACATATTTAGATTTCTGAATATTGGATTTTTCAAAGTGGGGAACACACCTACTAACTTGGTCACATCAAAATGCTAAGAAGTTCAACATAACTCTAAGGTCAAATTAACTTTTAGTTTTTGAAAATAATTATGAGTGAGGATATAAGTAATAAATATAATATATTATTAATATAACACATTAATATAGGTTTTTCCATATACTAGGGAATAAAAAAATACTTACTATTATTTTCTTACAGTCCTTTCCTCTGCATAGTTCTGTATAGGTAGAGTATTGCACATATATAATCCAGCTTCCAACAAAAACCGCCAACCAGGAAAAGAAAAGATATTTCATTCGCACGTATGAGAAGCGGGCCTGTGAGTAAAAGAGCACATACCAGTCACTCATTCAGACCAAGTCAGCATGCACTGTCCTAGAACGTGATCCCCCCAACACCTCCTTCTTGGAAGAACTCAATATATATTCCCGGCTTTCAGATGGCAATTCTCCTAGAACAAAGTGTACTTTCACTGAATCCAAACAGCACTAGTCTTAGAAAAGGAAGCTGTTTGGTCCTGCCAAGGAAAAAGGGAACAAAATACTCTTTACAATGTATAATCTTTCAAATACCACCAGCATCGAAAGCTACTTATTAAGCACAAGCGCGTGCACCATGCTGCCCTGGGCACCCTGTAAGATCAGGTAGAGAGAGACACAACTCCTGCTCACTATGACCTCACAGAAGACTGTTTTAAATAAGAATTTCAAGTTCTTTATGGGTAATCATGATAAAAATAATTTTGTTCTAAAGAAGTAAGAACAGAGAATTTGGCATTTGTCTAATGCCTCACAGTGACATATAACCAGAACAAGAAATTAAACTTCACATTCATTCTTACTTCCCTATTGCATTCACCAAAGCTATATGTTCCTTCCATTCAACCAACAAAATGCTTCACCTAATAGGTATTCTGGAAACTTGAAGAGAATGTTACAACTCTTAAAGGAGAAATGACTGGAGAAGAAGGGTTAAGATTCATAAAGAATAAATGACTCCTTGCATATCAGCTTGTAAAGCTGCACAATAGGATCCTCTTTGCATTGTTCACTCCCAGTGCTTTGGTATCGAATTGCAACTTGGGCTGGGTGGTGCCTTTTCTCCATCAACCACATAGCAAACAGTTTAATCTCCAAAAGTGTCACTTGGTCAAGGTAATTTGATATTTATTTGTTGAGTCTGGAGCTCCAAAGGTCTGATTTTAACAATGGCAGAATTTAGGACTATGGAGATAACTGAGCAGAATAAATTACAGATACATAAACAAACAACGAAAAGCTAGTTTTGCTTTTACAATCACGAGCCAGTTTCTCACACTGAGCAACAGTAGGACACTGTGAGCACGCAAAGAAAGCAGAAGGAGATGAAAGAGACATAAATGCACCTGCAGAAGACAATGCGTGCAAAGAAAAAAGAGACTCAGGAAATGATGCATCCTGCTGGCCCTGTTTGCGGTTCAGATTATCCGTCTTTGTGAGGTTAACAGATGGTGAATCTCATACCAAAAAGCTTGAGAACAACGAATTCACAGTTAAATAACAGGTCTTTGAGTTTTATTATTAAAATATAAAAAATGCCTTTAATGCAAGTCATTTTTGCATAGCTTCAAATGAATCCAGTAAAAAGAAAATTCAGACAGAATTCCAAATTAAATCACACCAACGACAATGGGGTATATACCAAGGGGTTCATGTGAAAGACATTTAAGATTATACCCTAATAAAAGACCTGATCAACAGACAGAACTTTATATGTACTAGTATTATGAGAATTAAATACGATTAAATGACACAATGCCAATAAAACACAAGCACATTTTGAGGCATATAGAAAATACTCAACAACTGTTAGCTAAATCAATTTGCAAGGCACTGAGCAAAAAGCCAACAATGCTGTCATTATGATTTGGCCACCACCTTCTTTTTGGACTTGCCAAAAAGAAAACTGAATCTGAATCTGATCAAGCCTTTAGCTCTAACTACCGGAAATACAGGAGACAGAGGAACATAAGAGACACTTAAGTAAGTGACACTGTTAAGACACAGTCAGCAAACTCCAGGCTGTGGGAAACACCGCAATGCAAACAACCCATTTTCTTCAACAAATACATTACAAGGGAGAAGATAAAGAGAAGATGGGGGAATGCTGAAGATTAAAAAAATGCTTAAGAAATATATCAAATAATCACAATACGTGGATCTTTTCTGAGTCCTAACTCAAATGAAAAGCTGTAAAAATAAAATTTATGAGACAATTGAAGACAACTTGAAGACTGACAGGATACCTGATATTAAGGAATTACTTCAACTTTTTAGGGGTGATAATGGTCTGTGGCAATGTTTAAAGAAAAAAACCCTAATATTTTAGAGATAGACATTGGAATATTTATGAATGAAATATGATATCTGGAATTTGCTTCAAAATAATACGGGAAGAGGAAAGTAGGTGGGGTACAGTTGAAACGAGATTGGCCATGAGTTGATAACTGTTCTAGCTGGGTGATGGGTACATGCCTTCCTTTGCATATGTTTTTCTCTACTAATTTAAAATTTTTTATATTATATGATAAGACATACTGCCACACCACGACACCCCCTTCCCAAGCAATCATTCAGCAACTATGGTCTACTGTGTGCCAGGTACTGCCGTAGGCACTTTCAGCACATCTCCAGTTACAGGGACAAACAAATTATAAATCTACCATACAATACCCTTAAAAAAGTTAAAAGGGTCACTTGAAGGACCATACCATGGCAAGATTTTACTTTTAGGAGTCCAATATTATATATTAAGCTAACATTTTATGTGACTTTTTTGAGACAGGGTTTTTTTTGGTTTTTGTTTTCTTTTTGAGGAAGACTAGCCCTGAGCTAATATGTGCCAATCCTCCTCATTTTTTCTGAGGAAGATTGGCCCTGAGCTAACATCTGTGCCCATCTTCCTCTACTTTATATGTGGGATGACTGCCATAGCATGGCTTGATAAGCCATGAGTAGGTCCGCACCCAGGATCTGAACCAGTGAACCCCAGGCTGCTGAAGTGGAACATGTGAACTTAACCCCTGCGCCACAGGGCTGGCCCAAGACAAGGTTTTAAAATAAGACTAATCTCAATTCATTTAGTAAAAGAATCAGGGAGGAGGGGGCCGGCCCCAGGCCGAGTGGTTAAGTTCAAGCGCTCTGTTTCGGTGGCCCTGGGTTTCGCCAGTTCAGATCCTGGGCGCAGAGGACATAGCACTTTTCATCAAGCCATGCTGAGGCGGCATCCCACATGGCAGAACCAACAGGACCTACAAATAGAATGTACAACTATGTACTGGGGGGCTTTGGGGAGAAAAAGGGGAAAAAAAAAGAAGAAGATTGGCAATGGATGTTAGCTCAGAGCCAATCTTTAAAAAAAAAAAAAAAAAATAGGGAGGAGTGGTGGGCCAGTGGTGCAATGGATAACGCATCTGACTATGGATCAGAAGAATCAGGGAAGACCTTACAGCCTTTTCTTTTTCCCTTTTCCTGCCTTGCTCCGAAGAGGTATAAGTCACGGAGAAAAGGAAAACAATGGAGACCTGGTGAGGAGGGTTCTCTGCCTGTGTTCGGATTTGGTCCTGTCTTACCTTCTTCTTGACACCTACTACAGTAAGGCTAGTAAGGTCAACCACCCTTTGGACTCTCCATCAATAATTTCTATTCAGGGGGTTGTACAAAGGTTCAATAAAGCTACCATAAATTGCTTTCAAATGCACACTAAGCTTAATAGATGTTGGTAACTAAGACTTTTATATATTTCTCCCTCTTGCATATCCAATTTAATATAACTTGAAATCACTTTGCTTTTCTATATGTCTCAAATAGCTACACTTCTCGATTTTCTCTGACATATGTTTAAACTGAAAAACACCCTGTGAACAGGCTTGCCTGCTGAGTTTCGTCATGATAGGGAATGCCAAAAATTTCGGAGAGGAAGTTAGATTAATGACGTTCCCAGCAGGGCACTGGGCATCACCTGTTGTGGACATAATGACAAAAGGAGGAAAACACATCTTTATTCCAGCACGCCACGGAAAATTACTGTGATCTGGGGGGAACACAAAACAGTACAAGGACCTCCATGTGTCCTTTAATATCTGGAGATCCTGCTGCTTCGCATTTTAAAATAACGACTGAAGAAAAACAGCCATTGTGACATCTGTATCTGTTAACTAATTTTATTTCCCTGTGTGGCACTCACTAAAATGTTTCCAGTGGTCTGTTCTGTATCAATTACCTAGACAATCTAGTCTTTGATTAAGAAATGTAGTTACTGTTTCTGACTTTTTATTTATATTGAACTATCAAAAATACTGCCCAGCAGCTTTTCTATTCTGCTGATTTTGTGCCTAGCTACTAATGGTACACTGCTTTATTCTGAATTATGCTTCTGAAAAGCATGACAAGAATTTTAGTAAATATCCTATGGCAATGATTCTCAACTGGAGTCAATTTTGCCCCCTAGGGCACTCCTGGCAATGTCTGGAGACATTGTTGCACGCAGACTAGGGAGTGCTACTGGAATCTTGTGGGTAGAGGCCAGAGATGCTGCTAAACATCCTACAATGCACAGAAGAGCTGCCCCACTGCCGACAGCAAAGAATTATCTGGCCTCAAATGTCAATGATGCTAAGGTTAAGAAACCTTGTATTACGATTACATAATAAAATAAAAACAAAAATTATGGTGCTGAAAAAAATCAAATTTATATGACATTATCATTTTATTTTAAACTAGTCTTTAAGACATAAACTACTACTAATTAGAGAAATATAACATCTGTCTGGATATAGCAGTTAGAAGCAATTCTTTATGACTAGAGTAAATTATCAGCAACATCTTATTATAAAGAAAAATCACTGCAGATGGAAAACATAAATGACGAGACAAACTTTCTGTACCAATTCCTCTGTGAAGAATGGTGATTCTTGGGACTGGCCCAGGGGTGTAGTGGTTAAGTTTGCATGCTCCGCTTCAGTGGCCTGGGTTTCTCGGGCCCAGATCCTGGGTGCAGACCTACACACTGCCCACCAAGCCATGCTGTGGTGGCATCCCACGTACAAATAGAGGAAGACTGGCACAGATGTTAGCTTAGGGACAATCTTCCTCACCATAAAAAAAAAAGGTTAAAAATATAGAATAGTGATAATTTTTCTTTTTTTTATATTGTTTGATCTCACCGTGATAACTTTTATTTCAAAACAAATCTGAAAACCTTTGATCTTATTTAAATAACTTTACATTGCTTTAAAAATAGAGGCAACTCATCAAAATTTAGTCATTTAAGACTACTT